TGTTATGCCTTGTTTTTTTTTGTCAATGTACAGGTTTTTACTTCTGCTGCGGTTGATGATACGAAGAGTACTGTCCTAGTGGCATTTGGGACTATGGAAAGAATTGTCCGTGACTACTTTCGATACATAACCGAGACAGATGCCACAACATTTACAGATTGTGTCCAATGCCTTATTGCATTTACAAGTAGCCAATTTAATAGTGAGGCCAGTCTCAACGCTATTGCATTTCTCCGATTCTGTGCTGTTAAACTTGCCGACGAAGGATTTGTCTGTCAAGATAAGGGTGCCGATGGACCCAGGAATTCAGACATGTCAGAAGGAAATGCCATTGTGAACAAGAATGATTATGTTTCCTTCTGGGTTCCTCTCCTTGAAGGTACAACATTATTTCTTCATTTGCGGAAGTGCTAGTTACTTTTATATGCAGTGTGAACCTTGTTAGATGAAAACATAAAGAATTTTAAGATTAATTGATAAATATTTATTTTTTCCTTTTGGTTTTCTTGCCTTTTCAGGTTTAGCCAGATTGACAACTGATCCAAGGCTGACCATTGGGAAAAGTGCTGTAGGAGTGCTTTTTGATATTTTGAAGGATCATGGGCACCTCTTTTCGCAGTCCTTTTGGACCAGTATATTAGAGTCTGTTGTTTATCCTCTGTTTAGCAATCAAAGGTCTAGGGTTAATGATCAGACCTTAACATCAAACGGCACCGAGGGTGATTTTTCAACTCTTGAAACACAAACATTGGCAGTGAAATCTTTAGTGGGTTTATTTGTTGATTTCTTTGACGTGATGCGGCCAGAACTTGCAAGAGTTGCATCCATTGTCGCATATTTTATCAGAAGTCCCTATAAACATTCTGCTACCATCGGTGTATCTGCTTTGCTACGTTTAGTGGAGGGAGTTGGCAGTAAACTTTCCAAGGATGAATGGAAGGATGTTCTTCTCTGCTTCAAAGAATCATCAGCACAAACCTTTATTGCATTCTCTAAAATTGTAAGGATGATGCAAGACATCGACATTCCAGATAGAATGGAATCTTATTCGGAAGCTGATCACTATTCAGATCATGAAATTTATAGTAACGATGAAGATGAAGCTAATATGGAGACAACTTCTTACGCCATTGTCAAACTGAAAAATCATATGGCCCTAATCCTCTTAATCGTTCAGGTACTTGCTTTTTGTTAATTAAATTGGACCAATGTACATTATCTTGCCTAGATCTATGGGAACCAGCGCCTATTCTTTTTTTTAATATATAAGGAGACAACTGTGAGCCAACTGTGGAGTGCTAGAACTGAATGCAGGCGGCCTTGTCTTCTACTCGTGCACCTAGCCAACTGAGCAACACTCTGCTCTCATGTACATTATCTTGCTAAGACACTCATACTCGTGTATGCTTTAATTTTGATTTAGAGATCCTTTTTGGATGGTAAAATGCAAAAACATATAAGGACCTATTTGATCGTTTACACAGTTTGGCTCTGGGCATCTGGTTAGATGGACTGGAATAGGCTTGACTCATTTTCTGCACAGGTGTCTTAGAATCCGGAAGCGTTAGTAGCTAGTGCCTAGTTGGTTTTCTCCTCAATTAGACACCGTCTTTTGAAAGAGCAGAGTAGAATAATGAGTTGTTAGGACAAAGAGAGGAGATTGTTAGGATAATAGGGGGTTCTGAGGATCAATGAATAGAGTGATTTCCCATTTCCCCCAAAGGCACCCTTCTAAAGCAAACTAGGTGTCTAGGTCCAAGTGCCTCTATGGCTATATGGGACAGTTTGGTTCTACCTTACAGATGTTATTGTGCCAGTTCTTGTGTTGAAGTAAGCTCTGAAGCCTTATCAAATATCTTCCTTTACTGGCTAATACCTAATATCTTGTGCTGTAGTGATCCCGACAATCAAGTCTTTTTCTCTTCCATTCTTCCCACACCATACTCAGTTTTTTCCTTGTACACAGGGCATTATTAAATTGTACGAGGAGCAGGGAAAATATCTTCATGCTGAGCACATTAGCATTCTTTTGGAGATGATATCAAGTATTGCAACTCATGCAAGTGAAGTGAGCTCAGACTCTTCGTTACAGATGAAATTCCATAAATCATGTTCCCTTCTGGAGGCATCTGAGCCAGCAGTTGTCCATTTCGAGAACGAGACATACCAAAGCTACCTCAAGCTTCTCCAAGCTGTGCTCCATGGGTATCCATTCTTATCGGAAGACATGGACATAGAATCACGACTACTTGATACCTGTGAGAAAATACTGCGGACATATCTGAAGTGCGCCGGGAATGGACCATCTGATGAAGCTTCTCATGGCAATCAAACTTTACATTGCATAGTGCCACTGGGCGCTGCCAAGCAAGAGGAGCTGTCTGCTAGGACCCCCTTGGTTCTTCTAGCGATGCAGTTACTGCATAACCTAGAGAAGAATTCATTTAGGAGAGTACTGCCCCGCTTTTTCCCACTGTTGATTGATCTGATTCGCTGCGAGCATAGCTCTGGAGATGTTCAACACGCGCTGTACAAAATCTTCAAATCATCAATAGGCCCTATGATAGAAGTATAATGGCACATTCCCGTCCTGCTAGGCGCACAATTTTGTGACAACATTCTGACATCCTGAATGAGCCCTTCCTTCAGGATCCTGGAGTTCAAGGTCAAGATTCTCCCTAGTTCTAACCACTTCCATATTGTGCTACACATATGTTATCAACAACTCTGATCTGTGTATGTCCTAACTTTTGCAGTGCATATTACTAGTCCAGATATCAGGTATAAAGAGGAAAATACATTTTGCCTACATCCACTTCAGCCAGTGAGCTCTATCATCTGAACATTTGGCCAGACAGAGGATCATTCCTGATGACTTGTCACTCTTTTGAGCCTGGTATGCGCTGAGGTAATTTCTCATGACCCTGTAATGCAGAAGGGTTTCGTGTGCGCCCATTCCATCGATAGCGTCACCTTGAACTGGGGGCAAACTGTATATAGTAACACGTGCCACGGCATCAGCCGTGTTACTAGAGAAACCATTTGAAGTATGATTGCTTTTGTAATATCCTGTTTTTCTTATGATTTGATCCACAGTAGGTTGTGTTTGTAATTCTTTTTGTTAATATATAAACATAGTGCAGTGTTCATGTAAACGGATGAGATGTTACAGTGGTTAGCTGTTGTTTAGGCAGATGAGCTATGAGGACCTTGGCACACGGATGCCTTGGAGGACACACACAAAAATATGTTGCGAGCCTAAAAATTTCCCAACTCTGCCAAATCCTTGTACTCCATCCGTTCACAAACGTAAGACGTTTTGGATATTTCAATATGGACTACATATGGACCAAAATGAGCGAACAAACACACTAAAACGTTAGAACATCTTATATTTGTGAACAGAGCTATCAAAGTACTCCCTCTATTTTTATTTACTCCACATGTTATTTTTGACCTAAGCCAAACTTTATAAAGTTTGACCAAGTTTATTGAAAACAATCGAAACATCCACAATAACAAATATACATGATATGAAAATAATGGTATTGATTTGGTATTGTGGATGTTAAGAAATTTTCGTATAAACTTGGACAAAGTTTACAAAGTTTGACTCGAGACAAAGCTAATATAATAAGTAAAAAACTGAGGGAGTAGAATCAATCTTTGGATTTGAAATCACTGCTTTGCCCTTACGTCTGAAATCACCCCATGTACTTGTAGTTGGCCATAATTTTAAGAGGCTATGCTGCAGCGTAGTGAGAGAAGTATAAAATTCCCCATGTTCGACATCAGACGGATAGTCTTGAATAAGATGAGCATATGCATTGCTTTAACATTGTACTCCTTCCGTTTCATAATATAATAGCGTTTTTGACACTGTTGTAATGTAATTAATGACATTGCAAAACTATCTCTTTGATCATTGTCAAAAGCGCTCTTATATTATGAGACGGAGGGAGTATATGGTAAATGTGCTTAATTAATGACATTGCAACACTATCTCTTTGATCATCCATTTGAGGATGCAAGTAAAGCAGATAAATCACCTGGATGCCCTTTTGGGCGAAAATTGAGTGATATAAGGTGCAAGTAAACCAGAATAAATAAACATTTTTATTTCAATACTTCTTCAGGAGGTGAGGCTAAGCTGTTTGTTGAGAGCATTTGAATTTGAACCATATAGACAACTGCAATTCTTCCATGCGTTGCAACTTGCAACGAATCATATTATTTTTACAGGGTAGAATTGGCCTTATTTAATTACACGGTGATGTAACTGATATACAAGTTCAGTTTAGGGATAATAATTTACATAGCCAACAGAAAGACACTATGACATTGAAGGACCTATACACCACATTCACACATGATACGAGAAGGACGAGAATGGATATACACAGCATGAACCAGATGCGACCGAAAGAATTGAACTGTTCTAAGATTTGAACCCTACATGAGCTACTACTACTATACACAGGTTGGATGTCCGAACTCCTTTTCAGGCATCCAGTTTGGTCCCAGGCACAGACCACCAGCTATCAGAATTCCTGCAGGGGATGGGGAATGTACAAGACACTGACTGAACAGAGCAAGAGTGGCTTCATTCTCCAGCTCTTGCTCTGTGCTTCCCGCCCCATCCAACGGAGCGGCTTAACATTCACATTATAAGTGTTGCAAGTAACCATGGATAAGGACAACCTGAAATAGAGTGAGAAACTATATAATTCAGCCCAGGCAGCACTTCAAGTAAAAGGGCTAGCTAATGTCAATGTTAAGATCAATGTAATGACCAACCTTTAAGAATGAAAAAGAAAACAGTTTGCAAGAAAAGAAGCACGCCGCCCAATTAGCAGTACTGCTGTTCTTAGTCCTGCTGCAGACTAGAGGATACCTGCAACAAGGAAGGCTGGATGTCACAACAGCTGGACAGACAGGAACTGTAGTTACAGTTTGACCAAGGCTAACGCACCTCCAATTTGTCACCGGCATCCCTTTTGTCATCCCGACATTTGTTCGGAGACGTTGTTTGGTGGGAACTGTTGCACGCGAGCAGGGAGCAAGAGCTGTTGCTGAGGGCGCGGAGCTCCTGTTTCCGCAAAAGAGGCATGTGTTAGAACTTTGAAGAATACAACGTAGTTGTGCTGTACAAGACATTGTCAACCATCATCAACTGATTTCTTACCTGGAGGATATTGTTGCTGAACCGCTGATGCACGCGCATTTGCAGCATTTTGATTAGATAGTGGGAGAAGGTGACCTGGCACATAGCCAGGTGAATAAGAATGATCACTTGGCACAGGTTGGCCGAACTGCCCATATGGGTAAACCGCTGGCCCTACTGTTCTGGGACCACCATACACCGGGACATACTGTTGTCCAACATATGGACCATAGGCATTCTACAAAGCTAAAAATATAATAAATTAGCAAAAGCAAAAATAATAGAACCAATATATAAAGTTATGGACGAGTTCTCAACCTGTGGATACAAGTATTCGGGTCCATACGTTGATGGCCTGCAATGACAAAAACAACGGATTATTATTTGCAGTAGACAGGCTGTTCAATTGGAAATAAGCAGATAGTCTAGCACGACAACATCATATAGACTGGCAATGCTGTAAAGCATAGAATTCCAGACTAGCTACAGCTTTAATCAGTGTGCCAGACAGCCTAACAGATCATATCGTTAGCTGTGCATGATCTTTGCCAACGATGCATCGAATGAACTGCTAACCTACCCATAAGGGGGATACACAAGAGCCTGCGAGTAGTTGTAGGGGGGTTGCTGATATGTTGGGCTTGGTACATACATGCCTCCTGGAACCGCCGCACCTCCATTGTATGGAATGACCGGCCTTATAGGTCCTATAATAACCACATTAAAAAGGAGGAAAACTATTACAATGATTGAATATACACACAAGAGCCTAAATAAGTAAAAGCATAAACCAGTAAGATAACTTAATAACTATATTTCTTTTACTCGGTCCTGCCAAAGATAAATGTAGAACAAACTCATAAAATTTTAAATTTAAAGCACAAACATTTTATGAGTGTCCATCGACCAGGAGCAATATCTCAACATAAAATTTGGCCATTCCATTGGATGCGTACTAGTCTGCCTATTTTGATCTTCCAAGAAAACTAATAGTGGTACAATACAATAATTATTTCTCAAGCTAATTTAGCAAATGTTACAACCTCCTATTGTAAAAGTGCCATTCCATCAGAAGCAAAGATCTTACATTTGGGTAAACTGTTTGTGTTTGTGTTTGTGATCATGAACATCTTTTATCACAAGTTGCAAACTATGCAAAAGATGTCTGACTTGTAGGCAAAGAGTTCCTTATCCAAAAACCAATATGATTGTCCTACACTTTCTACTACCCACCAACTCATGAGTAGTCCACTGTCTGTTACCTAATCTTCCCTTCATTCAAGTAATGCACTAAAGCTTCACAAACAGCATATGACTAGTAGCTCTCAAGCTTCTTTCTTTTATTTGTTTTAAATAACTCACATTTCTTTTCATTGTTGAGCCCATAACCATTTTTGCAGTTTAGCTTTCTGACACTGAAGAATTGGGCATGGGACTACACATTAACTTCATGAGTAGTGACAAAAGTCATTTTATTCTCTTCTACCGTGAGTTACAAGGCAGCAATTGAAACAAACAGGCATGCCCAAAAATGTAAGACTCTGAAATGATAGAAAATGGGATGATTACGGCAACTCTAATACACTGGAAACAGGCATTGACTTTAAATTAAACCAGCTGGTCAAAATATTAAGCTGCAGGAAAGAACTCAACAGATATTTGGCAGTTCAAAAAGTTGTAATTGGGGCAATAGAAAACCAGGTCAGAGACTGACCAAAAGGCACAGCTGGTCCAGGTCGCCCCAGGATGGCAAGATTACAGTTGGCACGCCGCCCGTCAATTACCGGATAGGGATCCATGCAGGCCATCCTCGCCGAATCTGGATCCCGGAAGGTCACCTGTTTGCATGTCCACACAAAATTAAGACAAATTAACATCATGAAACACATCCCCCCAAATTTCCTTCCCCAGAACAAAATTGCTTCGACATTCACTTGAAATAGTTCCGCAATTCATGATGAAACAAGTAAATTTTAGTCCAATTTAAAGGCCTAAAAATTTCCCAAGCAGCTAAAAATGTTCCAACATGGACACCCTAGGTCTCACGAAAAACAAAGCCTGGCAATCAATCGCCGTGCCAGAGTCAAATGATTTCCCTGTTACCGCCCCAAAGCAACCAGCTCCCCAAGTTTGCTCTACTATTATTAGTACCGCAAAACTCCCGAATTCACAAGCCTTCCAGGCCGATCACCACCGTTGGAGGCCACAAAGCACCCCAATTGAACCACAAACCCCTGATCCCCACAAATCGCCGGCCAAAAATTCACAAACTCTAGCTCGAAAATGAAAAAAAAAAGAAGAAGCGGAGAACAGAGGGAGGAAGAAGAAGGCGTGCTCACGAATCCGTATCCCTTGGACCTCCCGGTGGCGCGGTCGGTGATGACGACGGCCTCGAGGATGTCGCCGTAGGCCTCGAAGTGCGCGCGCAGGCCCTCGCTCCGCGTCTCCCACGCCAGGCCCCCCACGAACACCTTGGTGTACGTCGTGTCCCCGTAGGGCCCGCTCAGGTAGTGCAGCGCCGGCGTCCCGCCACCGCCCCCACCGCCTCCCCCTCCTCCCCCCGCCATCACCGCCGGCGACCGCTGCGGCGTCATCATCCCAGGCGCATGCGCTCGCCGCAAACCCTAACCCTAGCTTGGCTGGGCTGAGCTGGTAGCCGGCCGCGCTAACAGCCAGGCGGAAGCACGATGCGTGTCGTGTTAAGCAGCCACTGGGTAGTCGCTAGCGGCGTTATTATAGCGGTGGGTCTCGCGCGCTAATAATCCCGGAAGGCGGAAGCGGTTAGTAAAATCAGGCGGGAGCGGGAGCGGGAGAGGGAGAGGGGGGGAAGGGAGAAGCCAAGGCCAGTGGGGAAGTTGGTGCGGGACGAAGCGGGGAGGATCACGCGCCGAGAGCAAGAGGACAAGGCCAACTGGGGGCGGCCGGTTTGGGCTTTTTGTGGATGGGACTCCCGGCGAAATGGCTCTCCACCCGCAATACGTTTGTCTACAAGAAGAAAAGAACCCTTCAAAAAAAAAGAAGAAAAGAAAAAAAAACTCAGGGAGGACAAGGCGTAAATGACACGAGCTATACCGACGTCGTCTTCCTCCTGCACTCGCGGGGTCGAACGTGAGCAAAGCTCGATGTCACCCCGTGATCTTCGGAACATCCTTGAAGCCAGCGCCGCCCGAGAAGCCGCTGGTCGGAGCTAGAAGAAGCCAGCAACAACAAACTGAGAACCAGATCACCATCGCCGTCCATGATGTTAGAGCTCGAGCGAGGGAATGGAGAGAGGGATCGTGCAACACGTTCGCTAGCACACGAGAAGAAAGTAGCTGAGGAGGGCTGGACAACAACCATCCCAGATTCGTCTAGATAAGAACATAGAGGCCTAATCTCACTAGCTTCTCGACGAAATCGGAATTGATGGTGCTTTGTCGAACAGAGAAGAAGGCATATGAGCAAAACACAAAAGGATGTTGTCAAAGACCACCTAGACTAAAGGTAGACAAAGGCGGGACCCTTCAGCCTTGACCAAAGCTCCACACGCCCTCCGCCAATGCCAATCACACCTTTGGCGCCTCGCCACCACCAATGAGACACCTACCTAGGCTGAACCCTACTACCATAGCCGTTGCTAGAGCAACCCAGACTCCATGGCCACATGGTTTCCCCACCTCGTCGGCGATGGCGATGGCGATTGCGTGAGCATCAAAACGACAAGCCATGCTTAAGCTATGTCAGTATGGATCTAGTTGATTGCTACACTGAAGGAATGATCTGTGTCGAAAATTCTCACTTCGAAGCAGTTGCCTAGCTCGGGAAATTACCCTAGACGTCTGTCTTTTCCTCTAATGCGTGGTTATGGTGGTGCGCCTCTACTATGTATCTAAAGACCATATTGTTATTTTAATAAGAAATACTATTGCTGTACAATTATCAAGTAGTACACAAGCACATGTAGTTTTCCCTTTTAAAAGCTGGAATAATCGTTCATTAGAAAATGAAGCACGCAGGGCGGAATGCCACTCGGTAAAATACTAGTATATGATGGTGATACAAAACTAGACATCTCAATCAGTGGCGGAGCCAGAATTCGAGTATAGAAGGGAACAAGTACATATATTGATCTAATCTCGTTGGTAATTACTCGTCACTCA